CTTTTTTATCTTATCATCAACCATCTTATCTTATCTCGGCACAGATTATCTTATCACGGATCACAGCATCTGATGGTCTGGGCTAGGGGTCTAGGGGATCATCTTTATTGATTCAAGGCTGCATGACATATGCTCCAGAAGGTTCTACTACAACCCATGACCAGCGCTCTATGCGGTATATAGCCCTATGACTCATTAGTTGTAGATATGACTCAGACTGGATTTGAGTATAAATACTGTAGCTACTTGGTTGTATTCTCCAGTCTTTGAATTCACTTCTCTTTTCAACATTATTTCTTGTTGATTGTCATAATCTGGCATGGTTTCACCAGTGCTATGCAGCAGCTGAAGTGATAACAGATAGGCTAAGGATGCTGCTCATTGTTGCAGCCAGTGACAGTGCATACAATGAATGTCATGGTCACTAAGGCGCAGACATAGCTCTCAAGGCCTATAACCTGTTGAGCACTGGGGAGAGCGTCTAGCAACCCACCTGTGTGAGTTGAGAGCTTAGTGTGGGCACTATGCAGGAGTAGTCAAGAGACTTAGATTACAGGGTAATAGAGCTCTCCTTATATACAATACAGGGGGCTATGTGTGTCTATTTGATATGAGTTGGCATGACTCTAGATGACACGTGATGGAGTCATAAGATGTGTATCATGACATCCATCTGGCAGATGATAAGATGATCTTTTGATCAACAGTGATCACATGTTGACCAAATTGTCCCAGCTGTGAATTGCAGAACAATGCAATCTTGCCCCATTCTTCATGGCTATTCAAACTCCTTTGCAACGGAAGAAGGACTTATCAAGGCTGTTTCCTGCTCCTGAGATGCTTTTGTTCCTCTGCTGGAGGCAATTACACTGTACTTCCTTGCTCTTGATGGATTGTCTCAGCGTGCTAGCTGGCATTCTACAGTCATGACCACACTCCATATCCAACATCAACTTATGGATTCACTGGAAGCTGTTGTTAAACGTCTTCTCTGACATCCAGCGGGATTGATTTTGGATTGCATACTCAAGAACCTGCATGAGCTCAAATAGCTGTTCACTCTGCTTATCAACAGCATAGTCCACATACATCTCCCAATCTACTACGTCTTGGGCAAAGGTGATGCTGCCCTCAAATATGTCACACATATGGAGGCTTTTCCGTCAATGAGCAACATTTGCCTGAGCGTGCAAGATATAATCCATGCGCTGAACCAGCGTCCTTCAGTTGCTATTGCAAGCAAAGAATATGTTTTTGTCCCCTCAAACATGCGTCAATTTGGTATACTCCCAGATCTAGAATACTACAAATCTTTGAAGACTAGACAACTGTTGATGTGTAGATTTTGTGTGTGCTTGGTTCAGACAAAAGAGTGTTACTTAGCTATGTGACTATCAGTACATAGCCCTAGATCAATGTGACCTACTGGGCTTTTTGCCTCTCATCTGTCCCCCTAGCCTTCTGCGGCTCCCATCTGAGTTTTCTGTGTTCAACAACAACAGCAATTTCTGCCTGTTGAGCTTCACAGCGGTCAAAAGGAAGGGGAAAGCTTCACTGACTTCTTCACCTACCACAATGCTCACAACAAACGCAGACTTGCAGAAGAATTGCCGCAGCATAAGCAAGTGCATCCACAACATGAGCAGAGCGCAGCTTCGCAGGCTTGTCCCAGCAGGAAAGGTGCTCAAGTATTCATATAGAAAGAAACAGAGAAGTTTTGGGTCTGTTGACTGCTTCAATGCAATGACATTGAGGATGAATGGGTCAATTTTGTGCAATCACAGTGCATTTACGATTTGTTTGCAAACAAGTGGGACCTCTGTCATTCTGTCGATCTCTAAGCATGTGTAGAGCACAACAACAACAACAACAACAACAACAACAATAACAAGAACAACTTCCACAACTACTACAACTACTTTTGTTCCGCTGCCGCCGCGCAGCATGATGACAACAATGACAACAACAAAGGCTATCAAGCTCCTGGTCCTGCAAAGTCTGTGGACAACTTTGAGATTGAGCTTCCAGTGGGACTGTCTACCAAAGTACAGTCAGCACTGACCAATGCTACCACTATCCTTCAACAAGTTGACACATACACCGCCAACATCAGCAATGAAGAGAAACCGTGGAGCCTGACTCCGGTCAATGTCTCTGATTGTAACCCAGCAAGAGCCGTTCTTGAATACCACATAGGGTTTATTGAGGACTCCGAGCGCTCTTTTACTGATGTGGAGATGATTCGTCCTCAAATCAGCGCGCACTTTCTTGGTGACACGGGGTCTTCCACCCTGCTTATGCTGAGCAATGCAGCTAGGGCACTGCTACAAGCACTGAACAAGGCTAAGCGCGTTCAAGATCTGCCACCCAACCTTTTTGATCTGCGCAACAACGAGATGGCCGATCACATCTGGACAAACAGTGGCTTCATAGTGAATCTGCTCCAGGGATTGAGCACTAAAACACATTGCTCCACAGGATATATGCTCAAGGCGCACATCCAAGAATCTGACCAACAAGTTCTTATCTTTAGCGCCACTATGGTCTTGCAGCTTATCCGCTGCCATTGTCGTTCCTGAGTGGAGATCATTGCAATCCTCTACAATCTTGGAGCTCCCTTTACCATTGTAGTAGAGGCTTCCAGCTCCATGCCATCCTCTTATCAACCAGATCTCCTTTGCTGTTGCAGCCTCGGAGTTTGTCCAGAGGGTTACAGCCCAAATCAGCATGATCTCTACACATACTTGGATCTCCTTAAGCGTTTCCTCTTGTCTCCTCGTGGTTGACTCGCTCTCCAAGCGGGCGGTGTCATTGCTCAGCTCACCCACATGGTCATCAATGACCCGGAACTGGAACTAAGAACGGAGGATATTGACATCGAGACTGCCAAGGAGCAGGTTAACTTTGATGATGGTTCATTCTATTACCATGCATTGACTAAGGATGAAGAGGATCTTGTGCTTGGCGTATACAGCATCAAAATGAGTAAGTTTCTTCAATGTTGATAAGTAAGAACACAATTCTCACAATATACTTAGACCAGTTGAATCCCAGTGCGCGCAGTGGACACCAAGAGAAACATATTTCATGGTGGCCACAAGCTGGAGCGTTCTACTCGTCAGGACTCAGTCTTGGTTTGTGGACTCTGGATTGCAAGCGCTGGTTTCAAGGAATCCTGCTCGAGATGTCAGAAAATTGAGCTGTTGTTCTGAACAACATGCACTGGAAGGAAAGGATCCGTGGGTACAGTGGCGCCTTACACCTTTCCAAGAATCTCGAAGCTGTATGTCTGATTTCCTCGCTAACATCAAGTGAACTTTGATAATCTACATAGTGTTTGTCAGGGGACGCCTCGCTCCTTGGGCACGTGACCATGCACGTGACCCACTATGCCCTCTCTGCCGACCCGTGCCTGCTCACCTGTCGATCACCCAGCCTCCTCCTCCTCCTCCAATCCTCATCTCTATCCATGCCGACATCCGCCCTCTCCCTTCTTCCCCCGGCCATCTCCCTCGAATCCCCGCAAGCAGTCTAGCCAAGCCCGATTCCTTGCACCAGGGAGTGCTACTGCCATATGCACTCCTCCCCCTTCACTTTGGCCTTCTCCCTGCGGATGTGGTCTACTGCCGTACAGGCTCGTACCAGATGCCCTTGCGCTCATCCGCACCACCCCTCTTCCCAGTCGGGCATTGGTCCTCGCCTCCAATGTCTCCACTGGCCGGCCCGGCACTGGCCTGGCCACTGGGATCCTCCAGTGTGGCCTTCCACTGTTGGTGTCTCAGGAGCTGGCCATCACTGGCCCCTCTGAGCCACTCACTATCTTATCTGGGTTTGTCATTATCTACTTGTCATCTGCCATTGTTCCATGGCAGTGATATCCCATCATCATCAGTCACTTGTCACAGCTGACTATATAGTGTGACACCTGGGCACATGGATCCTTGAACCGTTCTCTAAGGATCCCCCTCTGTGCTCAGGTGAGTAGTATACCTCCCTTGTATTTGATAGTCTCTAAGGATCCCCCTCTGTGCTCAGACTCATGTGAGGTTGCTGTGTGCTGTGTGCTCTCTTCCTTCGGGCTGGCAGGAGTTGCCCTTACAGTGTTTCTGTATTCTTCATATGATTGATATCTGTCATCCATGTAATTACCCATGCAAATAGTGTAAATAACTGCCTATGAACATTGGTATCCTTTGTAATTCACCATCCATCGGATCATTGGCCAATAGATGATCTTGACCCCAATATCTGTGTTATCACGTTGGCTCGTTTTTGGGCCTCGATATTGCTGATATCGTGGCCACTCATTCTAAGCTTTTATGGGTAAGATTGGGCTCAATAATGTACTTATCAAAACCAAAGATATTGAAGATCAGATAGAGAGCCCTGATATGTAAGAAAGGTTGCCCAAAAAGAAGTTATCTGTAATGGCTCCCGATATTTCATATTTCAGATGGCCCATTTTGGGACTCAATATTTGATATAATGAGGACACTTTCGAGTAGCCTTTTTTTTGAACTATCGGGCTATATATATAGGATTTTTCTTTGTGATCCAATACTTACAATATAAATTTATCTTCATGGCCTCTTTTATCCGCAATCCGCCGGGGTGACAGAGCCCCCCCCCAATCAGAGATCTTGCATAACCCATAACTAGGACCAGTTCCAAGATCTCATTCCCTCTGATCACTGTTTGCTCCGATCACGCTCTGTTTTCAGACAGTGGGAGATACTGATTACTGTACCAATCTAATCAAATCGACAGTCACGCGTCACACCCCAAAAATTAGACCACGGATTTAATTCTTTCTTGATTTTTCAGATTTCTTTGCGATTTCTTTTGGGCAAAAATTCGGGCCCCGGTGTCGAATTGATTGAATTGGTACAGTAGGTGAGTTCCTCTCTCTTTTCCGATTTTTTCTCTTTCTGACTGTTTGATTAAACCGTCATCTTCAACAGACATGCATCACAAGCCTTTTTTCAAATAGGAATAATACGCTTTTTTGTGCTCCGATATTTGTAATATAAATGATTCTCTACGACTCCTGTTATTTGCCATCCGCCGGAGTGCATGTTTACCATTTGTTTGCCATATTTCTTTGGTCGATCATCCATAATTGTGGAATTTACACAGCTCATCCATAGAAAACAGACCAGAGATCTCCGTCCCATAGCATGATGTTCTGCTGCGTTGCCCAATCTAAATGATGGTCCGGCAACAAGGTTGTCCGGCCGTCGAACCCGAACGAATGCTGCAATTTCCACCCATCTGCACCTTTCACCGCCTGCCAGGCCCAAAAATGGTCATTCGTCCTCCCGAGAGCAAGCTGGTGACAGCCGACCATAGCGCGCCATTCTGACGACGTGGAGTTGCGCATGAAGATGCCTGTGTCGTGTTCTTCGTCCCTCCACACCTCTTCATATGAAGTCATCAGACTCGTCGATGGGTTGATCATTTCCCCGGATTCAACAATCGTTCCCGACGGCAAAGTTTTGTTCGTTCCTTGGTCGACAACATCAAGTGGATTCTACAGCGATTGTGCTGGTTCACACAAGTAAGACAAGGTCAATGGCAACTCACCAGTGTCCGAGAGTCGATGCAATGTTTGAATATGGTGACAGGTCCATCTGTGGATATGTCATCCACAAGACTTGGGGAAGAGCGTCGAGAAGTACCAGATGAGCGGTAACCTGCAAAAGCCCAATCGAGACTATGACCCTCCTTCTCGAACCGGACATCGACAAATATACCGCTGTGAAGCCCAGTAAGGACTATGGTATCTGTCGGCTCACTGGGCTCGTTTGGCAGCCACCGGATGGATTCACGAATGGAGGCACACGCAGACTTCATGCGATCATGCGATCAAATGCGATCACATGCACAGGGACCAACATTCACGAGTTGAAGTTGAAACGGCGGACTCGAATGAGCGGCGACTCAGGTCAGATATATCGGCAGACAAAGTCTAGTGCACATAGTAGAAACACACACACACGAATGCACGCAATTGTGCTTGGCCAGCTCGCACGACACCAGCCGAGAGATAGAAGAATGAGAAAGTTTTAGATCTATCGTTGTTTTGGGTTCGGAGAGGAACTTTTCGATCGAAATAAACGATGCTGGTGGGTCCAGTAGGAGAAGGTATATCCACAGGAAAACCATGCTGATCCTGCAGTCGGGCTAAGAGGGTGATAGTCAGTGCGTGATTATGAAAGGACAGGAGAAGATGAAGCCTAAATGCTCATGTTCCAATCCGCAGAAACGTTGCGAGGCGGGCCTAGAAATTATACATGACTGTGCACCGAACTTGAAAGCGCGCAGCCTGAAGGTGTTGTTGTTTGCAGTTGTTGATTGCACGCTCCTTCTTCTCATCACTCTTGGATTCATCGGAAATGTCGTATAAAAGTGCGATTGGTGCATCTGCGCCAGAGGCTAACAACAAGTATCGCACCCAAGCACGTCAGCTTCAGGAGCTCTTCCCAAAGTGGTCCAACGACGGTGCGCGATTACTCTTTCTTTTTGGTTTGACGCGCCTCATTTTCGCCGCAGACTTGCAGTCTCTTCTAGCTGAAGTGGGTGGCGACGTCGAAGTAGCTGCAGCGAGACTTAGCGAGGGTATATACTGTTGTATCTGTCTCGACTGGAGGGGTCTAATGGCTTTACAGGTCATGTTGAGCAATGGGCTGTGTCTGGCAAAAAGGACAAAGCGCTGAAGAAACCGCATGCAAACACCTCTAGTCACGCTTCAAAGGACTCACTCTCCTTCCCGGGCACTCGAGGAGACTTCCGAGGTGGGCGCGGTGGTGTGCGAGGCGGAAGAGGGGGATCAACGCGCGGCGGCGTTGCACCACGAAGCCGCGGTGGCGTGCGGGGCTCCACTCCAGTCAATGGACATGCTCATTCGCCTAGTTTGTCTGGCGCTGGAACGCCGAACGCATGGGCAGAATCCACGACCAGTTCCGCAGAAGGTGTCCCATCTACCTCGAACTGGGCAGAGAGTACGGAAGCACCCACGAACTCGGTGACTCCCTCGACCTGGGGCGCATCCAGTACAAACACGACTTGGGCAGCTGAGTCGGATTCGGCTAGCCCTGCGGTGTCTGTTGCTGCCCCTGCCCCTGCTTTGATCCCTGTCGTACCGAAAGTGTCCAAGACTCCGGCGACGTCCAAGATGTCGTGGGCTCAAATCGCCAGGTGTGTATTCTATACTGGCCCTCTTCTCTTTCTTTTAATTAGGTCCATTCAGACCTCAGGAGAAACCAGCACCTTCTCCTCTCATTCCGACTGCTATCCCAATTCCTGCAACAACCATGCCCCCGTCGCCTCCCTCCGTCCCGCCTCCAGCTGAACTCGAGCCACAACCCGCTGGATGGGAAGAACCGACTACCGTACAATCACCTTCTTGGGAAGAAGAAGCACCGATTATCAAACCGTCCACTTCAGCAGCTGATGTGTGGGGAGCCACGACCGAGCCACCCGTCGAGCCCATAGCCGAGCCTGTGGTTGAAGTCCAGCCTGAGGAATCTATTCCGGAGCCTGCTGCGCCAGCAGCAGTCCCATCGCCTGTTCCCTCTCCAGCCATCAAGTCATTGCGACCCGCCCCGTCGTCCCATCGCAACAGCGCACGATACCGGGCGATCGACCAGGCTGTGGTAATGCCCAGTTCCTTTGGATCTGGCGTTGAGAAGGTCGGCATGCAGTTCGGCAGTTTGAGTTTGGGGGGTGATGCGTGAGTGTTACACTCATCGTTGCGAAAGAAACTGATAATCAAAGCTCAGACCCGACTCCGAGTCAGCGCCTGAGCCTGCTCTTGGGCAGACACCATCAACACCGCCATCCCATATAGAACCTCCAGTGGCTGCCCCCGCCAACACTTTGACGTCCGCTGCCTCGACATCTCTAGGATCGTCGTTGTTTCAACCATCGGCGCCGCCGCCACAAGCAGCGCCCCAGCACAACCTGCCACCGTCTGTATCCCAGCCGGTCATGTCTCAACCATCCAAGCTGGCCGACGTTCCGCCGGACTTGAACTTGTTGGCGCAACCCACGTCGTATGGGCAACAGACAAATGGCAACTTCGTTCCTCCCCATCTCGCTGCTCAACAGCAGCAGCAGCAATACGCTCAACATGGTCTTCCGACTCACATCGAAGGCCAGAGCCAGAGCCAGAGCCAGAGCCAGAGCCAGAACCAGACCGGAACCAGCTCCAACTACTTCCGCAACGAACAACCTGTATCTTCCGGGTCCCCAGCATACTTTCATGCACCGACTCCACCCGCCGGTAATCAGGACACCGGGTATGGGCCATTTGGTCAGCTCGGAGTCAGTGTTGGCCAGCAGCAACAACATCAGCAAGGCCTCGGTGGATTTGCTGGTCAGGAGTATGGGCACTCGGAGGGCCAGCGTGGCTTCTACGATGGCTACCAGAGCCCGGGATCGTCTTTCGGGCGTGGTGTATTAGGTCATGACGACATCAAAGTGTTGCCCGCTCAGCAGGGTGGCCCTACACCTGGCGCCGGAGCCCAGGGCGGTCAGCAAGGTCCTCAAGGTCCTGGTCCGCAAGGACAGCAGGGATACCCACCGCCAATGCAGTATCACTATTACCCTTACCCGGCGCAGAACCAGCCCCCTTACTACGGTGCTCCGTACAACTCCGGTTATCCCTATGTCAAGTATCCCGTCTTCCCCGGACCGCCCAGCAGCGGCCCCGGTGGCCAGGCGGGAAAGCCGACGCAGCAAGCCGGTCAGAGCGGACAGTATGGACCAGGTCAAGGCCTCTACCAGCAAGGATATGATGATTACCAACCTCAGCAGTCACTGCAGCAGCACCACAGTCTCCTCAGCCAAGGCGGCAATGTTAACGAATACGGCAAGCCTATGTACGGCGGTAATCAGAGCTTCGGAGCTTTGAGTGGTCCGCAATCGCGCGGCGGAAATTCTCCAGAGACAGCATACAAGCCATATGGTGCGGGCAAGGACGTCGGCGTCAGCGCCAATGCTGGTGCTGGCTCTCGAGGCGGTCAGGCTCAGCAGCAACAGCAGGGTCAGGGACAGGCCAGCCAGAGTCAGCAACAGGCCCAGCCTGGCGCCTTTTACGGGGGCGGCCGTTTTGGATCAGGGAACAGCGCTGGAGTCGGCAGCAATGGGCCCCAGGGCACTGCTCATCATAACAGCACGCACCACAATAGTCATAACAGTGCTCACCACAACCCGCAGGGCCACCTCGGCTATTCCCAAGGTCAAAATGAGTTCTACTCTTACCAGCAGGGCAGACAGTACTGGCAGTAGTTGCATAACATTCCTCCTTTTTCTTGCTAATATCTCGTGTCGTTCCTGTTACTTACAATCTCTCACACTCAATGTTATTGTAACAATTCATCGCTTGTTCCATTACAACTGTAACGGGTGTGGCAGTGATTGTCGTTACCACTGTTTGGTTGTCTTCCGCTGCAGTTATGGCCACCACCTACAAACGAGGCCGTCCTCCGAACTTGACAATCCAGGCAGCGCCCCGGGCCTCCAACGTCGAGCTTGAGGAGGAATCTCCAATGCCACTTGAAGAAGACGAAGGTCTAGATTTGGCCAACGATTTCGACTCACCCCTCTCGGACGAAGGCGATATCACTCGCTCACTCGAACGCCTCGAACAGCTCAGACAGAATGTTCAACAAAATCTCCGCCTGCGGCCTATCAAATCGTCGGGATCCTTGCCGAAAGTACAATTGGGGGACTCGTCTCCTTGGGACTCAACATCCAGTCCTGGATCGAGTCTCTCGGCATACTTCACAGCGCAGGGAGATACGCCTGTCAGCGCCAGATTTCTCGGCGCGACTGTAACAAAATCTGCCGGCCGACCGCCGCCGCCGAAGGAACCACTCACTCACCCTCAGTCGATTGATGCGGAATTGTTGTACCAGCGCGTGCGTGCGCCCCGTCGACCGCTGCTCATCGACACGCGCCCACCTGCCTCGCACCTGGCGTTCCACATTCGGCATAGCATCAACCTTGCCATCCCGTCTCTCATTCTCAAGCGGTCGAAGAAGACGCCATTCCAGTCTCTCGATACTCTGCGACAGTACGTGACGAGCGAAGCTGGAAAAAGAGACTGGGATGGCTTAATGAACCCGGGTGGACCCTGGGACGGAGATGTAGTCGTATACGGGGAGGAGGAGGATGTGTCCTTGTTTCCTGTTCTTGCCCCTTTGCTCACGTACGGGACTGCATATCATCTCAGAGGCGGGATATCGACTGCTGGGCATAATCCGGATCTGGAGACCCTGATTATAGCAGGTGGTGAAGCGGAACACACCGGAAGTGGTCTCTTCCAACTCGATACCCAAGCTGCACTCCGATCCAAACTGTTACCCGAAATCGATAGCCGGTCGTCATTGGAGATCAATCCCAGTCTCTCATCAACGCTCACCGCCAGTACCGCAGCAAAATCTCAGCCACCCAGATCGCCGCTTCCATTGATGTCAAGCATGATGCCCCCAAATCCTCTTAACATTGTTGACGCGGCACCGTCCCCACCTCCTTCTCACGCCGGTTTCAGGAAACCACTCCCTCCGGCGAGAAGACCGTCTGCACCCAACTTGCGTAAATTGGATACCAAATCTGCGGAACGACTGAAACTCTCAGTTCGGACTGTGCCATTGAAGTCGGCAAGCATGAGTCTCATACCAGCAACCCGCAGTGGATCCTCCTCTCCTCCGACGCCCTGGACCTTATCATCACCTCTCTCTGGGACTGACGAGTTCCCTACCGCATACTTTACCCCGCCGCACACACCTGGTACACCTCGTGGCGGTCCAAGTGGCTTCCATTTCGGACGGGATCCGCCCCCCACAGCGCGTCCTGATGACCCGCCAACAACAGAAGAACCGTTCCCCGAATTCACCGTTAGCACGATCCTGCCTGGATTCCTGTTCCTAGGCCCGGAACTGACTGCGGCCGAACATGTGTCCGAACTACGGAATCTGGGTGTACAGCGCATCCTCAACATCGCGGCAGAGTGCGATGATGATCAAGGACTGCATCTTCGAACTGTGTTCAAGTACGTCAAGATTCCGATGAGGGATACCGTGGAAGAGGAGAACATCGCCAGGGGTGTCAGACAAGTCTGCGAAATTCTCGGTGTGTGCGCAACCAACTTCATGACTGTGGGGCTAAAGGATGAATTTCAGATGACGCACGATTGCATTCTGCACCCACCTACGTTCACTGCAAGGCTGGAAAAAGCCGGTCGGTCACGGCGGTCATGGCCTACCTCATTCACGCAAACCACTGGACTCTTTCCCAGGCGTATGCATTTGTGCTAGAGCGACGGAAGGGCATCTCTCCCAATATCGGGTTTGTGAGCGAACTGATGACATTTGAAGAGGAGGAGCTGGGGGGAAAGAGCATTGGCGTCCAGCCAGCCTCAGCCAATGAGGACTCCAACAACCATGGCGCTGGCGCGGGTCATTCACACAACGCCAGCTACAGTGTTGTTAGCAATGGCCGACGCGGTGGACACATCCGGGAGAGTTTACCACCGGCATTTGCACAGACACAATCATATTCTGTGGCACCAGAGCCCCAAGGACCGGAAGGTGTCAACTCACATGTCGGACAGGACGTCGAAGTCCGTGATGCCGCTGGCCGCTATAGACACATGAGGAGAGCCCCCGTCGATGAGAATACTCTCCAACCAATGCGCCGAGTCAGTAAAGCGGGTCTCGAAAGCTCCGCCTATTCATGACGCTGCAGTACTGGCGTATAGCTACTGTCGTATATCTACATCGCGCAGGCGCGTGGCCTGCATTTCCTTACGAATTGGGTATCATGTAATGTTCTTTCATATGGGTCATGTCTGCATGCCGAGTGTGATCACGAAAATGAAACATCGAGTAATTGGAAAACAGCGCGGGACAGCAAAACATGACAAGAGTGGGATTTGAACCCACGCCCCATTGCTGAGATGAGAAACCTGATTCCAGGCAAGCCAAACGCTTGAGTCACACTCCTTAGACCACTCGGACATCTTGCCTAAATTTCTGCGTCTGAATTCTCACTGCGATTCATCTGTCAAATAAAGGAGATGAAGATTGGAGGCACCTGATAAAAGCAAATAGTGGGGCAGGAGAATAATGCAAGGAGAGTGCAAATGTGCATGAGGTAGAAAATCGTGATCACCTAGCAATAGGTGATGTAAAATTGACAAGGGTGGGATTCGAACCCACGCCCGTGAAGATTAGAGAAGGATTAATCAAACCTAAATCTAACGCCTTAGACCTCTCGGCCACCTTGCCATGCAATTCAACTAATGACAATTATTCAGAGACCTCGGTAAGGTCGATCTTAGGTCTTACAGTACTTACCAAAGCTTCTGGACCAAGTCCACAGATCTGTCAGGAAAAGTGCCAATATCCTGTCAATGGACAAGGAACAGACCAGTAAATAGCAAGTGCTGAACAAGGTTGCACAAGATCAAGAAGAGGAACCCCAAAGCCCAGATAACACAATACCTGAGTGGAATACTGTCCAATTTTGACCAAGTATTCACATCACAGGTCACAGGGACTGCTGAACTGAACACTTAAATATAGGGTCACAAGTCACAATTTTTTTTTTGAACTTGTGAGACATATTTTCTAGAAAAAAGCAATTTTTTGCTTCAATTCTCCTTGTACTTGTAAGGGCAACCTCAAGGCCCAATCTCAGAGTCCTGACAAGGGAGAGTCCAAAGTGTCAGATAAGAGGATGGACTAATACAGGAGACTGGAAAACCTGACAAGGGAGAGTCCAAAGAGAAACTGAGTTGGGGACTCTCCTTGTCAGGGTCCTCTATATATAGCCTAAAGAACAATGGATGACTAAGCACCATGGAAAACAGTGTTCACCTATGGAGTTAAGGCCTATAGGCCTATAAGCATATATAAGGCCTACAATGCAAGGCCTATAGGTTGGCACAATCACTATGAAGGCCTTCAAAAGCCTTATCGCTCACATGTTGAGCATGTGATCTCCCAATGATGTAGTTACCTTAATTGATCAGGATCCTATCTGTCTACTAATCATCTGTGATAATGATATTGTGTGATTTTACATGCTGCCTGCTGCACGTCCCACCAGATCCTGCCCAATCTGTTGTCCTCTCTCTATGCCACCTTCCCTGTCATTCTGGGATTACTTTTGTTGAGCACTGGGGAGAGCGTCTAGCAGCTCACCTGTGTGAGTGAGAGCTTAGTGTGGGCACTATGCGGGAGTAGTCAAGAGACTTGTATTAAAGGGTAATAGAGCCCTCCTTATATATGATACAGGGGGCTGTTTGTGTCTATTTGGGACAAGTCGATATGACTCTAGATGACACGTGATGGAGTCATAGATGTGTATCACAACATCCATCTTGACAGATGATATTTGATCAACACTCCCCTACGCTGAAAACCTCAGGATAGTGTTTGAAAGCGAAATCTTCATCGGCCATTCCTTCAGGACGAGTTGAACTCAAGTCCTAATTGAGATCTGAACTTCTCAAACTTGATGCGTCCTAGGTTCTTGGTGAACATATCTGCAGGATTCTCACTGCCCGGAATAAAGAACAGTTCAACCTCTTCTTCCTCGACTTGCTCACGAATGTAGTGATAGCGGATGTCTATGTGTTTCATCCTGCGGTCTTGGTAGGCATTGCTGCCACTGAAGAGTGCACCCTGATTGTCACCGCAAATAGGTACTGGGATGGTGAGCTTGAACTGGAGTTCCGAAAGGACGCTCTTCAGCCACATCACCTGGCGACTACAATCTGAGATCGCCATGTACTCTGCTTTGGTCGAAGACTGTGCAACAGTGCGCTGAAGTCTAGACTGCCAGCAAATAATCCCGTCTGCCAATTTCGTGAAGAAACCAGTGGTAGACCTCCTCTTGATTGGATCAGCAGCCCAGTCTGAATCGCTAAATGCAATTAGCCCTCTATCCGTCGCACCATTGAAAATGAGCGAATAATTCCTAGTACCAGCCAAATAGCGGCAGATATACAGCGCTTTATGGGACAGATTGGCGGCAAATTGTGACAATTTGGTCACAGCAAATGCAATGTCAGGACGTGTGCCTAGCATGATGAAGAGAAGAGATCCAATTACTGATTGGAATTTCTTCCTGAGCTCAGGATCGACTTCATCCTCGTTTGGCATTGGAACATATCCAGCCGGTAGAGGGGTCGCTGCGAACTTGGCGTTCTGCATCCCAAAGCGCTCTAGTACCTTGTCGAGATAGGGAGTCTGATCAATCTTGATCGAAGATCCTACTCTACTGAGGCATACGCGCAAGAACTCTGGAGTATCTTCAGAATTGCGGCATTCCCATCGCTTGTTGAACTCAGCCTTGAGAAAGGCGAGGAGCTTCTTGTTCTTGGAGAAGAACAGTGCATCATCCACATAGACTATTATGACGGCTATGCTGCCATCAGAGTCCTTGTAGAAGAACACGCCGGCATCCGATGTCAGTCGGATCCAGCCCATGGCTTTTGTGGACTTGGTCAGCGCTTTCCACCATGCTAAAGCAGCTTGTTTGAGTCCATAGATTGCCTTGTGCAAGCGCATGACTTTGCGCTCTTGGCCTCTCACCACAAAGCCTTCGGGTTGTTCCATGTAGACCTCTTCGTCAAGCTCTCCATAGAGAAAAGCCTTACTGACGTCGAGTCCAGACCAATGCCAATCATTTAGTGCTGCAAGCGCCATGACCAACCGGAACGTCTCATACCTGACAACAGGAGAGAATATCTCATCATAGTCAACACCTTCGACTTGACTGAAACCCTTGGCAACTAGGCGGGCACGTTTTCGGCCATCAGATTTTTGGTCAAAGACCCAGCGGCATCTGATAACCTTCTGTCCTTTCGGACGGTCCACAAGGGAATAGACCTTGCGCTGACAAAGTGCCTCTAACTCGTCGCGGCAAGCATCAATCCAACCTTTCTGTTGTTCAGAAGGCAACCGCTTGATATCACGGAACGTCCAATCGCGGATTTTGGACGTATCAGGTAGGTTCTCATTTGGAACCGCTTTTGACAGCAGCGCTGTGATGAGCTCTACTCCCCCTTCCCGGCATAGCTTCTCCATGCGTGCATCCTCGTCTAGATCATCAGAAGCACCCGCGTTTGAGGAATCTGGTTGCGAGCTAGGGCCGGGAACCCCTGCATCAGCACTGGTTGATGGTTGAGATTGGGAGCTACCTTTATCTTCACCAACATACCGCTTCCAGCCTCTGCTGTTCTGAATATCACAGACTATGTCCGTAGGGTTACGCTTTTCCCCATAGACGTTTCCTGGATGTGTAGGCACATTCCGCTGGCGTGAAGACCTTCGAGGCTCAGGAGCTGGTGAAGCTGCCCGACTTGGTCGTGGAATCCTACTCCTACAAGACCTCTGAGGTTCATCCCGACGCTCTGGCGGTGGGTCCCGACGATTATGACCATCGTCACCATCATCATTTCCTCGTACGGGAGGTGGTGGAGCCGAATTAGATGGCATAGGAAATGGAAACGGATTATCTCCATATAGCCAATCTTCTCTGTCTACCTGTGGTGGATCTTGTGGATTCACTGGGTCATCACGTTCTGGAAATTCCTCTCCAACTGGAACGTGGGGTGGTCGATTGCTGTCAGGACAGCGGGGGAACAACTCCTCATCGAACAATGCCTTGGTGGCGACGAACGTGGAATTGTTTGTGCGCATGAATAAAAATCCTTTCACACCATCTGGAATGCCCAAGTAGGTCATCAGCTCCGATTTGGGCGATAACTTGTTGGCGCGCTTCTCATCAGGGATAAAGACGTATGCAGCACTACCAAAGACTCGGAGTTTGGAAACATCCGGTTTTTCCTTGTGAAGGGCTTCAAATGGAGTTTTCCATTTTAGACGCCTGATAGGTGTCATATTGTAGATCCGTGTCGCATGTTTTATCGCGAATTCCCAATATGAATTAGGAAGACAGGCAGTGAAGCGCATGGCTTCTGCCTTATCCATGATCGTATGATTGAAGCGCTCGGCATGCCCATTCTGCTGATGAGCATATGGAGCACCCTTCTCCACTAGAATTCCTTGTTCCGCGAGAAATTCTTCCATTCCCATCCCCATGAATTCTCCCCCATTGTCAATATGCCACTTTTTGATGGTGACATTGAACTGGTTTTTGACCATTGCAATGAAATTGCGCATAGCCTGTTTGGCGTCGGATTTCTGCGCAAGGCATACTGTCCAGCCATAGGAGAGTGCTTCGTCAAAGGAGCTCATGAAGTAACGGTACTTGTGATAAGACACCGTGGGAAATTGTTTGAGATCCGAGTGGATCAAATCAAACGGATTCTCCGCTCGTTTTTTGGAAGGCGGGAAGACACGTTGGTGCATTTTCCCTTGTGCGCATCCTTTACACGGTCAGGTTTCCTCGGAAAATACTAGGTCTTCTGGAAAGCCCTTGGTATTCTTTTTTGCCTGACGTAAAACGTCTTTTGACGGATGTGCAAATCGCTGGTGCATGATCTCATAATCCACCTTGTAAACAGTGGACATGGATTGCACTGTCTCAGCCGTGCTAGGCTTCGACATCAGGAAGTACAAGGCAATGTCCTTCCCTAGAGTTCTAAACTCCATGATCGAGAGTGGGGACTTCCCTTGATGTAAGCTGATCCGCGATTTGTCTCCACGAACGCGAGATCCTCCTTTGAGTAAGGAGCCCAAAGACATGAGACGACCATGTAATCCTGGCACTAGGTACACTGGATATATCTGAGAAGTCACCATAGTCTTTTCTCCATGCCTTGTGATGTAATGATCGATGAAGGCTGTTCCTCGACCAATAAGGGCAACACGTGTGTTCTTATCAGCGGTCTGAGCAACAATAGGATCTGAGAGCTTCTCATATCCAACCAGATCACTAATCT